TCATTGTTCTTCAGATATTCTTCCAAAGCCATTTTTTCTTCTTCAACCATCTGATGTAATTGTAGCATTCCACGCCCACCTATTTGCCTTGGTAGATAAAGTCTATCAATGTCACTGCGTGGATGAAGGGCATGATTCATTGTCATTATTTTTCTGGTCTGCCTATCCATTGCTTTAGTTCTGCTTGAGTCCAGTCCACTATTCCAGCTGTGTACCTAATGACTGGGATTGCCCAGGTGTTGATTGCCTTTATGGTATTTCCTCCATTGAGTTTGGACTTGAAGATCTTCTTCACTCTCTTGATGTATTCACCTCTAATCTTTTTCTTGACTTCAGTGTGCTTGATGTTGTCAGCTTGAAGGATACCCAAGTATTTGTAGTACTCTTCCTCATCCAGACTCTTAATGCTATTTTCGTGGGGCATCTTGATTCCTTCAGTTTTCATACTATTATTATTATTATTATTATTATTATTATTATTATTATTATTATTATTATTATCATTATTATCATTATTATTATTTGTTATTATTATTACCTGTTCACAAATATGTTGTGTATTTTACACTTCAATATCTGCACGGGTGACCCCTGTAGGACTCTGTTCTCTGAACCAAAAGCTTTTTCAGAGATCTTACACCCCTGCAAGCTTCTGTTCTCTACGCCAAAAGCTTTTACAAGGGGGATGGAAGAAAACAATATCTAAAGAAAACAGCTTCACCTGCATCTGAGAAGACAGTCACTTTTTGGCTATGTACCTCTGAGCACTGCTGATTTTAGAAGTGCTGAGAAAGCTAAAGCAGCTATGGGGAACTTAAGGAATGGTAAGGGGAGCATGAGGTAACTCAGTGGGTGTGGGGAGGCCTTGGATGCCAGAGGTAAGTAGTCTTTTCCGGCACTAGCCCTCCCCCGCATGGTCTTCCCCACCCTGAGGTACCTCATGCATACTTAATGACCCGTGCGTTCAATTAACATTCAATTAACAAATTCATTGGGCAAAGAAGGGATGGGGTTCATTCGTTTGAAGTGATTCAATTAACATTACAACCATATTAGGGTCGTAACTTGACCCTACCATTATTGAGCAAATTATAGCAAATTATAGTAACACCTATGTGACATCAATCCTACATGAACAATTAATCAGTGGAATGACTTGCTTCTAGAAATTATGGGTGCTCCAACACCCATAATTTTTAGTTTTTAAATTTTTAGTTTTAGTTTTTAAGAAGAGATTGGACAACCATTTGTCTAAAATTGTGTAGGGTTTCCTGCCTGAGCAGCGGGTTGGACTAGATGACCTCCAAGGTCCCTTCCAACTTTATTATTCTGTTATGAGCTGCATTGGCTCCCAATAGGCTTCTGGATGCAATTCAGGGTGCTGGTTATCACCTTTAAAACCTTATATGGTAGATTACTAGTACTGCAACTTCTCCATTTTTATCTGTTTCTGCCTGTACTGCCATATTGAATACTGTGATGACTTTATATAGTTTGGTCTTTTCTGTGTGACCTGTTCCAGCTGATTCAGGGACATGAAGTTTAAAGGAAGAAAGATATTTTTAGTGCTTTCTCATCAAATGAAGTCATTATTTGAGTAGTTTGATAAGCTCCCTTGATTATCTGAAAAATAGATTTATGAAATGCATTGGAAAATATATCACATGGAGTTAATTTACCATCTGTACCTAAATTAAATTATCCAACAATCTGTATCTAGTTCTCTACAACAGGGCTCCCGAACCCCCGGTCCATGGGCTGTGGTATATCAGCAACCAGTCTGCACAAACAAGCAAAGCCCCATCCATGGGATGCAGGCAGCACACAAAATCACACCCCCTCCAGTCCGCAGAAAAAGCTCTCTCCATGTAACTGGTCCCTGATGCCCAAAAGGTTGGGGACCTCGGCTCTACAACATTCAATTTATGATTAGCCTGTTCTGACAACATTACTCTCTCCTAGAGCGTAGCTCCAGAATATTGATCTTAGCTTACACCATTCCAGACGAGTGGCTATCCAGTCCAGTGATGGAGCACCCACAATTTCCAAAGGCAACCTTTGCTGAAGCAAAACAAGCCAGATAAAGATTTCCACAGAACTGTCTTATTAGTTATCAGATTTCATATCTCATTCTTCTTCCTCTTAGTGACTTAAAATCAATCTTGGTTCCTAGAAACTGCCTGGATAATCTATGTAATTTTCTTGGCAAGATTTTTGGAAGTTGTTTACTCATACTTTCTTCATGGGATTGAGAAGAAGCGACTGGCCAAGGTCATCCAAGTAGATTCATGACAAAGGCAGAACTAAAACTCATAGTCTCCTGGGTTCCAGCTCAGTGCCTTTAACCACTATATCAAACAGGCTATTTCACACATTCAGTTCTACAATAGGTTTTTTTTAAGGCATCTTTGAATGGGTGTGATGGGATAAAGCCCAAGAAAATGCTAGCTTGCTGATCATTGTTTTTTATTTGTTAAAGAGCCCTGAGATAAAGTGTTACAACATCTGGGGGAAAATTCTTACTTACATCCTGTTTTTGAAGTTGATTAAAATTTTTGAGTGACAGGAGAATTTCAAAGAAAAAGCAAAGAAATTCAAAGAGAAAAAATAATTGATGGAAAATGCATTTACGCATTCACACATTCATTAAGCATATATGACACTTTTCCATCATAGATGTTGGAGCTATAAAGTTGGCTAACAGGGATATATATATAAAGTGATTAATAACATAGCCCCACATCAATTAAAATGAACCAATAACTTAAGAAAAAAACATTCCAGTTAAAATGTAATTTGGAAAACCAATCAGTCATGTGAAATGTCCCAAATACAATAGAGTTTCAAGAACTCTTTTGCAAATAGAAAGTCATTATTCCTACAGAGTGTGAAAAGCAAGGATTGTAGTAGTTATTTTTTTAAAAAAAAAAAATGGGGGGAAAAACTCATAGATCCCAACCCTGTATATCGCCAATCAAAAATAAAGTAAGTTGGGGCTTCTCGAAGATAGCGTGCTGAGTGGCAGACTATTTTTCTTCTCACACTGACATATGTAGACAGATATGTAGATATTTACAATGTTTACAAAAAGAGATAAAGCCCTTGTGGAAGTTCAATATTAAATTTAGTTCCCTCCCTCAAAACTACCCTTATTAATACTATTAATAATATTTTCTTTTACAAACATCCTTTTTAAAATTCAAAAAATTTCTTTAAACTATTACATTTTCTTTAACTTTCTCTTAACACACACACACACACACACACACACACATATAATACATGTTCCGAGTTTTGGATTAAAACTTTTTTTTCAATTACAAATATCAAACAAATAAAAACCCATCCTAGATCTAGTTAACTCATTAAATTTAAGTCACTCCTTCCAGCTTGTCTTCAGGGAGTAAAATCTTTTTCTTTTCTGGAAAGTTTATCAAATTGTTATAAGCCTCTCTTTTTATCAAGGATTTCTCAACCTTGTTAATGTGCTTAAAGAAAAAGTCCCAAATTTGTCTTTTTCAGAGATGCATATTTTCTGAAAGCTCTTCTTTCAGTTGTGTTGAGAGATTTATGTTTAAAGCATTGTAATAAAAGTTGGTGTCAGGTTTATATTCCAAGATTGCAGTTAACTCCTCTGCATTTTCAACCACTTGTAAAGTTGCTATCATGGTTCCATCAGATGAAACCCTTCAAAAGAACATTGTTTACCTTAAAGAAATTTTTATTCGGGAAACAAATTATCAGCACTACATAGTTGAACCCACAGCAAAGTAGACCAAGCTACAGGTTACTACAATAATACAAAAACATTTCAGTCTTTATGTTTCTCCATCAGCTTTTTGTTTGTTTGTTTGTTTGTTTTTGCTCCACACGTTTTTATTTTGGCTTTTCTTAGCCTTGCCTTCTTGTTAAATATTTCTTGTTAAAGAAATCCAAGAAGGCATAGCAGACTGTGATTAAAGAGAGCCTCCTTTAACTTAACATAATAAAGATTAGTAGTCCTTAAAGGTGATTTTAAAAAATGGAAGGTATAACTTACTGTCCGCTTGAAAGATAACTTTCAAAACAATGAACAGATTGCAGCCCTTCCCCCCCCCAGCATTTGTCACACAGCAACTTTGAAGCACAGCTCCTGAGATTGCTTGCAAAGCTCAGTTGTATTGGAGGCTTTTGAAAGTTAATTCTTAAACTCCCTGTGATCTGGGTGGGTCATAAAACTGAAGGAATGCCAGTCCCTTCAATTAGTACTTGAAGAGCTACAGTCCAAGGAAAAACCCTTCAGGGTTCCCTCTGTGAGCATGTATTCAGTCAGCCATCTTCATTGGAAGCCAAAATCCTTCTAATTTCATTGGCTTCTTTTTGTCAAAGACATTCCCAAATATTGTTGTTGGGATCTCTGAACTCTGTGCTTTTAATCAGAGCTTCAAAAATCTCTTTCAAGACTACGTGCATCCCAGAATAATTTCAGATTATTGCTTCTAGAGCTTTAAGAACACACGAAGCTCATCCCACATTTGAGTTATAGAATGTTCTAGCTATCTCTACCTTTCACATTATTACTATTTTGTTGTTAGTACTGGTTTTTTTCTTATTATTATTTTGAGTGATTTTGGAGGTGTTTGGCACTCTAGTAAAAAAAAAAGACAACATATCTACTCTTTCCTGTATTAGTACAATCATACACATGATGACGCTTTCAGAATTTGCTATCAAAAAAAAAACAAAACCAAGTTCCTCATTTCTGGGCAAGGCTGATTTCTATAAAAAGACATACTTATTTCCTAGCACTTGTGTACTCATCTCCAGCTGTGGGTGTGTCACACTTGTGCATCACCTCTCCTGAACATATATAAAGCAATTTTATAGCATTTCCTGATCAAGACGGAATGGATGGAAACTAACCAAAGAGAGAAGCAACCTAGAACTAAGGAGAAACTTCCTGACCGTTAGAACAATTAACCAGTGGAACAACCTGCCTCCAGAAGCGGTGAATGCTCCAACACTGGAAGTTTTTAAGAAGAGACTGGACAGCCATTTGTCTGAAATGGTATAGGGTCTCCTGCCTGAGTAGGGGGTTGGACTAGATGACCTCCAAGGTCCCTTCCAACTTTAATATTATTATTGAGTGAGTGGTCACAGTTCCTCTGAAATCATAATAGAGATTAGAAGAAAAACCTTGACATCTAGAATAAGACCTTGCTTTTATCCAGAAGAGACTTTCTATTAATCTTCAAAGAAGGTAAGACATTCATAGATTTTTTTCTGTTGTTAGCTTCTCCTCGTCTACCTATCAACCTTGTTAATATGCAGTTTTGTCTCCAAAGAATTTGATGGAGTTACTTTGAATACCTTCTGGCTAAAATGTGTCAAAATAACCCTAAATGCTTTTGTTTGTATTGATCTGTCATCTCCCCTTTGTATTAATTCTGTAGTGATGCCGATTATTGAAATCTGAATATTACCTGTTTGTCCTGGTAATATTGTTATACTTCCATTGAATACAGATGGTTTATGAAATAATTAGCCTGATCAGATAAACTCTTTACAAAATTGCTTCCTTGTTTATTAATATGCAGAGAAAGTAGTTTTTTATTATTATTACATGACGTTTCTTTTTTTTCTTCCCCACCTCAGATTCTATCAACCCCATTTTATATTCAGGCTGAGATTGCTTTTTAACCCATGCAATCCATGATGATTATCATCATCATTGTCATCCATGTTGAATGAATTTTACATGTTTTGAGTGAGCTTCCGCTAATGTGCACATTCTGTATATGCTTTCTCTTTCTAAATATGTTCAGGTACGCTTTTTCACAATATAGGTATTCTGCATGTATTATTTCATAATACTTTCATATTTTTCTAATTTCTGCCTGCTGTACATATTTCTGCAAATTGTGCCACAGTACTCAAAAGAGATACCTTTTAAAGTGGAATGCAAAAAAAAAATGTGTATAGAAGAAAAACAAATGCCCCAGAATAATACCAAAACATTTCTGCAATGAGAGTAATGCAAATAATTTGTCAGACTATTCTCCACTTTTAATATTTTTCTTGCTGTGTAATTGACTACATTCTAAAGCACTGGAAGCCAAGGAATCTCTCAGTACAGTTCTCCTATCTATAGGAATTCATATCTATAGGAAACTTGAAAGGAGATTTGGGGCTCATTTAAAGGGTTAGCCAAGTCAAGAGACATCAAGGTGACTTTCTTTTAGTTTAACATAACCAAATTTCCTCTTCTCCCTTCCTCCTTCTCACCTTCTTGCCGTCTCTCCCTCTCTCCTTCCGTCCCTCCCTTCCTCTCTCCTTCCTTCCTTCCTTCCTTCCTTCCTTCCTTCCTTCCTTCCTTCCTTCCTTCCTTCCTTCCTTCCTTCCATCCATCCATCCATCCATCCATCTATCCATCCATTGCATTAATGGATCATTTTACTTACTATTTGAAGTCACAATCTTCCACGTTTCATGAGAACACCAGATAGACCATAGATCAGTGGTTCTCAACCTTTTTAATGCCGCAACCCCCAACCGGTCGTAAGTCGAGGACTACTCAACCAGTCGTAAGTCGAGGACTACTCAACTAGTGCAGCACCGTTTGCAGAATGGGACTTTTGGCGGGCTTAGCAGGGCAGAGACAGCCTGGACAATTCCTATTGGCTTTTGAAAGCCAATAGAATTAGACTCTATTCAAGAGAGTCTATTCTATTGGCTTTCAAAAGCCAATAAAATAAAAGGGAGTAGCACAGGTAAGAAAAAGGGGAAAAAATGGCAGACTGCGTTGTTTGGCGACCCCTGTGAAATGGTCGTTCGACCCCAAATGGGGTCCTGACCCACAGGTTGAGAACCACTGCCATAGATGGTCCATAGATGGAAGGTGACCTCCACTACCCATTATTGCTTTGATGAATCAAGGCTTTCACATAACAATTTTTAGTCAGATAAACAAGGCCAGATCATCACCCTTATCTCAACCATATAAAACTTGATCCTTGCAGGCTAATTGTCAGCACAGGACTGCTAATCTAGAGACTACCTTGCAATATGCAGTTTTAGACACTAAGACTAATGCCAGCTGTTTCTCTTTTGTTCCAGCAGGAGTATCTGAAGCCATAGAAGGAAGAAGGAAGAAAAAAAGACCGAAGCACAATGAACATGATGTCCCTCTCTCCAGCCCAAATCAACTTTTCCAGCTGTGAAAACAAAACCAGTTCTCCTGAAAAAATGGAAGAAGTGCTTATTTTTGCAATATTCACTGTGCTTTTTTGTCTGTTGGGAATGTTGGGGAACGGCCTTGTGATCTGGCTGCTGGGCTTCTCCGTTAAGAGGAATACTTTTGCCATTTATTTTCTCAACCTCTCGGTTGCAGACTTTGGCTTGCTCACCACTGAGCTGATTATCGAAATCCACTGGTTTTTTACACACTTGTATTGTGACTTTCCCTATGAACTCTTCCAAACAGTCCTGCTGTTAATGTACAGTGCTGGGCAATTTCTCCTGACGGTCATCAGCATCGACAGGTGTATTTCGGTCCTTTTCCCAATTTGGTACCGATGCCACCGGCCGGTGTATCTGTTCACTACTGTGTGTGCTGTTATCTGGGCCACTTCCTTCATCCTCTCTTCAATTTACTTCACAATTGCAGCTATTCATAGATATGAACCAAAGTATACCGTGAAGTATCACTTCATTGTTAATGCTGTGCTTTGTCTCCCACTGATGACAATCTCCAGTGTCATCTTGTTTATCAAAATCTGCTTCATATCCAAAAGCCAAAAGAGGAGGAAGCTTTTGACAGTTGTCTTGCTCACTCTTTTCTTCTTCTTAGTCTTGGCTTTTCCGCTAAATGCCTTTTATTTTATCCTGTATTTTTCAAATTATATAAATCCCAACCTTGTACATTATGGCTACTTGTGTACCTGCATCAACAGCAGCATTAATCCTCTGATCTATTACCTGGTGGGGAGACAGAAGGGTAAAACTCAGAGAAGCATCAAAGACTTGCTTCAGAAAGTTTTCAAGGAGGAAGAAAATTGTTCTGATCAAATGGAAACTTCAGAAGGTTCCAAAATCTGAACTCTTTAATTTCACCATTGTCATGCAAAAGATACATTCATTTCTTTTCAAGCATGACCATAATTTCCCTTTTTTATTATTTAAAAGAAACTGATCTCTACACTGATTAACTTGTGCTTGAATCCATAATTTGTGCAGACAATAACCTTTGTGGAATATCAAAACATTTTTCAAATAACCTATTTACCTAGTATCTCCCACTTGAAGATTAATTAGCTTGCTTTAGTTCATCTTTCCCTGACCGGAGTGGCCTCCAATTCTGTGTGTTTGAACTTCAGTGTCTAGCCAATAGAACCATTGTTGAGAATTTTCAAAGCTGACATTCACATCTTTGGAAGTCATTCATCATTGAATGACTAAGCCATGGATTGACACATGTAACCTTCAAAATGTCCCAGGTTCTAACAGGTACATAACCAGTGGTGAAGGACAATGGAACTGTAACTCAACATTATCTGGATATATCTGTATCTTCGTGAGACCAGGATGCATCAAATCAACTGGATGAAAAGGAGGACAACTAATACAACAAGAAAAGATCTTATGAAATCACATTTAAATGAAAAAAGTACAATTCCAGAAGAAAAGAATCAGAGAAAGACTGAAAAGATTTCAAGTGGTTATATATATAAACCAATTTATCTTCCTACATATGTATGTGTGTGTGTGTGTGTGTGTGTCTGTGTGTGTAGGTTGCTAACAAAGAATAAAGAGAGAACTGGTATAGCTATTTCGAGTTCCATTAACTCTCTTCAGCCAGACTTACTCTTTCTGGGATTCGAACCTGGGCTTATCTGCATGTTAGGCAGTTGTTATAACCTCTAAACCGCAGGCTCTCTCCCACTCTATTAGCTGTCAGGAGAGAGACAGGGGGAGGAGATTTTTACCTTGAATGTACACCCTGTCAGCCCAAATATGGGAGAAAGAAATCTTCTTTCTTTTTCTTTTTCTTTTGCTATATATATGTTTTCTGAGGTTTTCGCGGGTGTTTGTATGATGTAGGTCTTTGGTTATTTGGGTTTTCTCCAATGTCCAATTGTCACTATGATCACACATTGCTCCTAGAAGCACGAAGCCGAAAGCACCAGCCTGAAGATGACGAATGGGACTTCACTGAAACGTCACCAAGACACTTCCAATTTGACGCAGGAGAAAACCCCAATAACTAAAGACCTACATACAAACACCCACAAAAACCTCAGAAAACACACACACACACACACACACACACACACACATATATATATTACTTAAAACCACTATATTCCAACTATTTGTAATAGATTTATTGCCTGTCTATGAGTTCCATATTACTGAGGAACATACAGAAGCAAATGAAACTAAAACAACACTGCAATTTATAATTTTTATGGAAGGAAAAAAAATAACTGTCACTATGCTGGTGTCCTGCCATTCTGTTGGAGGGGGAGGCTCTGGGCGGCATTCTTCACATGCTTTCACTTTTGCTGTAATTGCTTGGGAATTAGGGAAGGGGATTATCTTTGGAGATGAAGCAGACTTCTTCTCAGCCAGTTCCAACCTGTTTCCAAGGCCACTGTGCCCTGAGGATGTTTTGTTATCTGCCTTACACCTCAGCATTCTCAAAGCAACCTTGCAGCATCGTATTGGCAGCTGGTGAACTGGTCCAGGGATTGGGTTTTGGAATGGGAAGAATTGCCTTGTGCTTTGTGTGGGACCATTAGATTCCCCCTGACTTTATTGCACCCACTTTCAGGAAAAGTTCTTGTGATTAACCTTAATGAAGTCAAGAGCTGTGCTTTCCTGAAAGGACCAGCTGGGGCAAATCATTATAATAACCTTATGTATTCAGTATACTCCCCCCTAAAGAGCTAATGACAAATCATGCAGGAACTCTGGACTTTTTTTTGCTTGCTTATGAAAGTGCAAGTGACTGTTTTAGACAAAAATTCTCTATGTGGTTGGCCAGGTACTTACTATCATAACTGGTGGACATGCCCTAAAGCAAAAAAGTTTTGGGTTAAGATACATACATGGTTGGAAAAGATGATTAAAAGACAGATAGAATTTAAACCAGAACTGGTTTTGTTAGGAATATTAGGACCTATTTAGGAGAAGGAGAATGAATATTTAATATTGCATGTACTGACAGCAGCGAGAACAGCATTTGCCCAATACTGGAAAAATGAAAACTTACCAGCTGAAGAGGTTTTAATTAAGAAAATCTTAGAATGTGCAAAAATGGATAGATTGACTGTAGAGATTAAAGAAAAAGAAGATTCAGTTTATTTTAGAACATGGGATCATTTTTACCAATGGTTAGGAAAACGAACTAGTGAGAAATGAATGTGATATGTTATTTTGAATATATATTAGTAAGAAGAATGATGTGCCTTGACTAACTGATATTGTTTGTGATTATTGTTTATTACATTTACTACAATTATTTATTACTATATCAACTATTGTTAATTGAACATACTGTATGTACCCGGACAATAGTCTGTTTGCTAAAGATTGAAAATGTTACTGGGGGATAACCCTAATGTTGATCCCAACCTTGTCCCTATCCCAATCCTGATCCTAACCCCACCCTAAATCTTAATCCCTATCCCGATCCTATTTTATCCCCAACTCTATAAAACTCAATAAAATCTTTAAAAAAAATTCTCTATGTGGTTCACTGGCTGTGACTCAATCCAGAGAAAGTAGATCTTTTTTCTATTCCCTCTAAAGAGCTATTGTTATCTGCAAATAATTCCTTTTTGCTTCTATATGAGTCTCAGGATGAGGTCATAAGATCTGATGATTTCCTACAAATCAGAAGCAATTCAGCAATTCTGTGAAACTATTTTCTCCAAACTCTTTCTGAAAACTCAGTCAAATTATAGTAAAAATAATAATAGTAGTAAAGTTGGAAGGGACCTTGGAGGTCATCTAGTCCAACCCCCTGCTCGGGCAGGAAACCCTACACCATTTCGGACAAATGGCTGTCCAGTCTCTTCTTAAAAACTTCCAGTGTTGGAGCATTTACTGCTTCTGGAGGCAAGCTATTCCACTGATTAATTGTTCTCACTGTCAGGAAGTTTCTCCTTAGTTCTAGGTTGCTTCTCTGCTTGATTAGTTTCTACCCGTTGCTTCTTAGATTGGCTAAGTTTAAAACTGTGGCAAAGTTAGTTGGAGTTTCAGATGAGACCCAGTGTAGAGCAGTGACTGTAGACCACAGATGCAGATCTATCGTCTTCTTGAGCTAATCACAGAGCTGAAGAAGAGGACAGGATGCTGTTTTTGTTTCATAGATGGGATACGGAGAATCCCAACGTTGCTCATTTCTATTTAAGAGACAGAATAATCATGCAGTTTGTTGCCTTAGTCTGGCAAAAGTTTTGTCTATAGGTGAACAATAATAAAGAAACTACTCTGAAGTAACTCCTCATATTTTTCTTGGCTTCTTGGGCCTGACAGTGGTGAAGGGTTTATGGATCATGCCAGCACCTTGAATTACCCCCTAACTGGCAACTAGCACAAGTCCCAAAACAAAGGGAAGAATAGAATAGATAACACATTTGGAAGGGACCTTATAGGTCATCTAGTCCAATCTCCTGCCCAAGCAGGAGACCCTATACCATTTCTGACAGATGGCTGTCCAGTCTCTTCTTGAAAACTTCCAGGGATGAAGCTCCCACAACTTTGGAAGGCAAGCTGTTCCACAGGTGGATTGTTTTCACTATCAGAAAGTTTGTCCTTATTTCTAGGTTGAATCTCTCCTTGATCAGTTTCCATCCATTATTCCTTGTCTGGCTTTCAGATGTTTTGGAAAATAGGTTGATCCCCTCCTCTCTGTGACAGCTCCTCAAATATCACAACACTACTATCATGTCTTCCCTGGTCCTTCTCTTCACTATACTAGCCATGTCCAGTTTCTGTAACCATTATTCTTATGTTTCAGCCTCCAGTCCCCTAATCATTTTGTTGCTCATCTCTGCACTTTTTCTAGAGCAGTGGTTCTCAACCTTTTTAATGCCGCGACCCCCAACCGGTCGTAAGTCGAGGACTACTCAACCGCTCGTAAGTCGAGGACTACTCAACTGGTGCAGCACCGTTTGCAGAATGGGACTTTTGGCGGGTTCAGCAGGGCAGAGGCAGCCTGGACAATTCCTATTGGCTTTTGAAATAGACTCTCTCTATTCAAGAGAGTCTATTCTATTGGATTTCCAGAGCCAATAGAATAAAAGGGAGTAGCACAGCTAAGGAAAAGGGGAAAAAAATGGCAGACTGCATTGTTTGGCGACCCCCGTGAAATGGTCGTTCGACCCCAAATGGGGTCCCAACCCCCAGGTTGAGAACCACTGTTCTAGAGTGTCAACATCTTTTCTATAGGGTTGAGACTAAAACTGGAGGCACTATTCTAGGTGTGGTCTTACTAAGGCTTTGTAGAGTGGTATTAGTACCTCCCATAATCTTGATTGAAGCCCTCTGTTAATGCAATTTAGGATTGCATTGGCTTTTTTGGCTGCCACCGCACATATTTAATTGATTGTCCACTAAGATTCCAAGATCCAAAAGATGGTTGCTATATAAACTTGTAAAATAAAGTTAAATAAGAAGAGAATATGCTGGTAGATTGACACATGAATTCTGATGCCATACCTATTGTGAATTTAGATAGCAAGGTTACCCACCATCTTCAAAATATGATGGTTGAGACATATGCAAAAATAAGCTTCCCAATCAACTAAGCAATCACACTGATATTACACATTTTACATCTATTCATATTTACTTACTAAAGGACGCTCACCAAATATGCACAACCAAACCCTATTTTTAATTCAAATAGGAACTTGCATAGTCCTTAATGCTCCATCTGCTGGTGGAAACCTTAGTAGGAGATGAAATAAGAATAACTACAATAGGTGCTAAAAGAGATTCCAGCTGAGGTGTCTCCTGGGGAAATCAGCTTTGGAACTCAGAACTTGCTACTGACTTTTCACAATAGCTGTACATTATTCTGGTCCCACCCCCTTCTGCCAGAGACCCTCAGATCTGTCCCATTCCTGCCCAGAGCCCCACAGGCATCCTTGATGCGAATGATGTAGAGTTGGCCATGCCCACTCAGTAGGCCACACCCACTCCATCCATGTCCACTCAGTAGGCTGCACCCACTCTGGCCACACCCATCTAGCCCCCAGAGGGCAACCGCAATGCTGATGTGGCCCTCAATGAAATTGAGTTTGACACCCCTGCCTTACGGAAATATATTCTGCCTTTTAAATATTTCCAAAAATATTTCTTTCTTGCGGGGTGGGCTGACTTCCCACAGGAGATTCTCAATCATCCAAGTCATGGCTGTCCTTTCCAAAAGGCAACTGGACTTGCTTGGTGTTTTTTTTTTTTTTTCCTTGAAGACATTTCATTTCTCATCCAAGAAGCTTCTTCAGTTCTGAAACAAAACAGCCAGATAAAGATTTCCACGGAACTGTCTTATTAGTCATAAGATTTCATGTCTCCTTCTTCCTCTCGGTGACTTCAAAACAATCTTGCCTTCCGGCAGCTGGACAGGTTTGTGTAATTTTCTTAGCACAGATTTCAGAAGTGGTTTGCACATCCGTTCTTCATGTACCTGAAAGAAAGTGACTGATCCAAGGTCATCCAGCTGGGCTCATGACAAAGGTAGGACTAGAACTCACAGTCT